ATTGCAGATCGTGATCATTGGAGTTCAAGGAAAAGCAAAAGAATTTGTGGAATTCATCAAATGTATCATTCTCATCACAGTTTCTATCTAAATACATTACAGATCCTCGTTTGGGAATTGAAAATTATTTTATTTCCGCTGTGCATGATTAAGTAAATTCCCAACAAGATCATGTGACATGATTTAATTGGATCAAAACTTCAATAATCAAATAACTTCTGCACTTACTTTTTGACACATTATCATGTATAAAACATTATGCACATAGTCACAAATAAAAAACATATTTCATTTAAAAAAGAATAATGTTATTTGTATATAAAGAGGTTACATAATGATTTACATATAGATGAGATGTCTAAAAAAGAGTTGAGTTTTTTATTTTTTTGACCATTATGTACATATAGAACGATCGTTTGAAAAATAAGTTGTACGGACTTTCTAAAGAAGAGTACTAATTACTAAAAGTAGAATTAGAGATGACAAAAATTTCCACTCAACATCAACCCAACTCAATTGGTAGATAGGCATGACGAGGCACATGGTTCTCGTTCAAAACCAACCGTATAAATAAATAATTAAACAGGATGGTAAATCATAATTTTTTATCACCTCGTCATTTTGTCCTATTGTCATCCATTAAATAATTTATATTTTATATTTTAATTACAAATAGTTGGTTTAATTTCATTTTTGGGCAATATAAACCTTTGTTTGGGATCCATTTTAAGCTTGATTATAAAGAATGATATTTGTGAAGACTATGCACTTGCAAATTGCAATAACGATTATGAAAATGATGCATCTGTTCAAAGTTTGTACATACAAGCATTTTACTCTTGTATTTGATTTTAATTTGTCGTAAGCCACACACGTTAATTGTACGAGTTAATTACGTTCATAAGGTCACTGAAGTCTTGAGTATTTACATCAATAATCAATGACGTAACTTCCTTATGGTAATAATCACTCAAGTTTCAAACGATTACACTCTTGGTCACAAGCTCAAAAACATTAATTATACTAAGGGTGGGTTCGTTTGATAGGCAAATGTGGAAAGAAATTTCAATTCCATATTAGTTAGAAAATAAAAACCCATCATACCCGTAAGAATTCGTTTTCCAATAAAAACAAAGAAAATGTAACTTAAAGTAGTCGTACCTTAAAATTCGACTTTTATTTCCATGTTACAATCGAACCGTCAAATTAAAATTGGTTTTCTGTAACATTTTTTGTGGAATTCGTTGCAATCAAACCAGACCTTAAGCAAAAATCGTTATTAAAATAAGTTTACCATGATTTATTAGCCCAAAAATCTTATCAATACTAAAGCAATGTCGGTTTTTTTTTTTCATCTAAACATTTTTATCGACTAGTTACACAATTAAAAGGGGACAAATTTTAGCAGATGGTACAACAAGTGCGTTGCACGTTGAATGTATACGATAGTATAGTTAAAAAGTTACCTTTTACACTAAAGCCAGTAACTCATTACTAACCGAGTTTTGCTTCTTGTACAGTTTCAATTCACAGTCATTTTCACAGTTTTTTGAAAAATCTGACGTGGCAGTGTAAATAGTTAAAAGACCCGGCCCAACAAAAAAACCCGACCTTGTTCATTATGGGGAATGACTCACGACTCTAACCCATTTCTCCCCCCCAACTCTCGAGAACCGATTCGCTCCAGCTTCAACATTCCAGCCACTCTGATTCCCACGCCAGCTTCAACATTCCAGCCATTGAACCCATTCACCGATGGATCTCCGGCCTCCCCAGCTGTGAAACTGTGAAGTAAAACTGTATAAGAAGCAAAACTCAACCCAAAAATAGAGACTGAGAATCAATCAATCACTTGTACAGATGCACCATCCTGTGTTAAACTTCTATCGGGATTTTCTTGATTTTTTTTTTCCTTTCATCTATCTTTCTCTCTCGCACGCTTCATAGTTGTGCCTTCCTATTTTTAGGCTCTATTCACCTCTCATCTCCAACCAAAAGGTTCTTTGAGTTTTTTCCAAATTTATAGAGCATACCTTTTTACCACACTGCAAAGTCTTGCTTTTTCTTCTTTCGTTTTCACGTTCACAATTTGGCAAATCTATCAAAAACTTGCTCCACAGGTTGGTTAGGAACTATAATTTCTTCTTCTTATTTCTCATAATCAAAACCTTTACAACATCAGGAAAATCGTTACTTGCTCAAATCTAATTAGGGATATTGATTTTGTTCGCCATTTTGGAGTAGTGCTGGAGTGGGTTCTGGCCGGAGATAGCACCGGTGGTCGCCTGAAAATGATTGCATTGGAGTTGTTGAAGCCTTCGTCACGGAGAATTGGGTGTGGAGAGTTGGGGGAGAATTGGGGATTTAGGTTAGTTTCGGGTGAGAGTGGTTCATTAGCACAATGGGCCGGGTCTTTTTTTTTTAATCGGGTCTTTTAACCATTTACACTGCCACGTCAGAATTTTCAAAAAACTGTGAAAATGACTGTGAAGTAAAACTGTACAAGAAGCAAAACTCTTACTAACCAATACTGATTATTACTGAATAACAGAGTTAAGCAAATCTCAGCGTTTTTGGGTCCGTCCCCCATCAGAATAACTCGATAACATGGCAACCAAATTAATTTAAAAAGGTTAAAACAGCATATCACCGGTTTACGATGAAACCAAGCGGTCCAATGCCTCTTGGGCCACATTGTAGCTGGGCTGGACCTTCAATGCATCCTCGTACGCTTTCTTGGCCTCTTCTTTCAGCCCTTTCTTTTCGTAACACTCTCCCAGTAAACCAAACGCCTTGGCGTTATCATTTTTAAGCCTCACCGATTCAACCAGGTCCGCAACCACCGAGTCAACCTGTCCGCGTCGACTCACGGAATGCCTCAACTCGGCTCTTTTGTACAAAGCGTCCCCTCTCTCCAAATCGCTCAGAGACTTGACCGCCAGTGGAGAGAGCGCGACATCGAGCGAGTCGATAGCCGAAGTTTTGAACCCTTGGAGCTCCAGAGCCAGGGCCTTGAGAATGTGAGCCGCGGCGTCCTTTGGATCGAGATGGATGGCTTTCTCGGCCTCGGATTCGGCTTCTTTGGCTAGGGAGGAAGACCTAGAACGGTCTTTGGAGGATCTGGCCTGGTTGAGGAGCTGGGCGCCGCGAACGAAGTGGCGCTTGGCTTGGAGATTGGCTCGACGGCTGAAGAGACGGAGCTTTGTGAACAGCTTCTGGGGAACTTCTTGTATGATCAGAAACATTAAAATTATGACCAGAATTATACACGCTTGTAGAATTAGATCACTCCACATCTTTGACATCTGCCGATAGTATAATTTTCAAGAAAAAAATTGAATAACTAGTTTAATTTCTCGAAAAGAGAGGTTTTATTTTGTGGATGTAAAGACAATCTGGAACTGAGACGATGATTTGAGTTAAATAAATGCTGCTTCTTTCCTCACTAAAAAAGAATTGTTTTCTATTGTTCATTCAACTACTCAAATGGTTATAAATTAGTTATTTCCCCTGAACAGAAATGTTCATGTGCCCAACGAAATTCATATGTAATACATTTATTAACTATGGTCACATAGGATTAAAACACATCAAATTATGATCATTAAAATTTTCTCCTGTTACTACTTGGTCGTTGAAATAAACGATGTAACCATTTGGTCACTTGATTATTCAGAGGATTTATCTATTTGTACATTTTTTTGCCCACTTTGTTGTATTCGGTGTTATCAAAAATTGATTGGCGGTAAAAATTGTCTTTTTTTCCTTAAATTGTACAAAAAACTTGACTGTTATTCAAATGATTACATATCCATCACTTATTTGAAATTCATTACTCCCATTCGATGGAAATGTCCACATAATTGACGAAATTTTTATTTGGCACGTTTATTGCTGCGTTAACTACTGCTGCCTAAAATTAAATGCACATTTGTTTGTATGAATGTGAACACTTTTTTTCCTTCTTGCAAAAACAAAAATCCCCAAATCCAATTCACAATCGTCTGAAAGAAGATTTACAAACAAAATTCTTATCTTGGAATTCGTCAGCAACATCTTAGAATTGTAAAGAGTTATGTGTCATTGTGGATAATTGTTTGTTACGAAGGCTTCATGGACTCGGAAGGTTACATGGGTCGAACTGATAAATGCAACTACTTTGCTTGAATGAATCTACCTCCTCATCATAGTACAAACAAGTCGGTAGTTAATGGGTTTGTTCGCATGCAAATACAATGCAGATTGAAGAGATGAAGATGAGCCGGCAGATCAAGGATGGGGAAAGGCAAGACAACTTCTTTACAAGTTCAAACTGAAAGCTTTTCAGTGAAGACCATGGTGGCAGATCTACATGCCCCAAGAAAATGCAAATAAAGTAGTAGGAGAATGGTCAGAGGGTCATACCCATTTGCTGCTTCAAGGATAAGGAAGGCTGCTCCAAAAAGAATTAGCATAAGAATTCTGATTTCAGGCTACTTTTTGAAATGATGAACCAAGTTAATCCATGATTCAAGTAGATTCTGATTCACATGTATACAACTGTCCCATTTACAAAACATTTTGAAAGCCAGAGATCTGTTAGAATGTAACTACAATTTAGTTATGTAAATAATTAGCCCCTGAGAAAGGATTAATGCCCTGAGAGCACATTTTCCTAGTACTATGGATTCAGTAATAAACAAATAAATAAGATTTATGCATAATTTTTCTTGTTATGTTTGTATCAAAGCATATATCATAAGTTCCCATGGTTTTTTTTTATGAGAAGTCCATTAAAGACGAAACGGTTTTAAGCCTTTTCAACTGAACTTAGGAGTTTGACATTATCCTCTATCCAAACTATAATTTAAAGAAAAATTACATGACAATTGTCTACCAAATTCAACAAGTGTACATAACATATAGCTTGATGAGCTCATTTATAAACGTGCAAGAATTTAGAAATAACACTAAAATTTCCAGTTTTCTCTAGTGAAATTTCACGCTATGAGCAAATTATAAAGTGGAGGTAGGAGTTGGCAGAAATAATTATGCAATGGTAGAATGATATAAACTCGTCAATCAGAAGCCGGCTGTGTAATCATTTAGATCCCCCCAAACTGTTTCCTCAACTTCTTCCCAAGAATTTGCCATCTTTAATTCTTTCCACAGGCTGAAAATAGCTCCCAGAATGTTATCATCATGCAGAATACAGTAGCACCTGTATGCATATACATCCCAATAGAATTTTGTCAATAATACAAGGGAACACTAAATGGGTAAACGAGATTAACAACATGAAAGTGTGTGAAAGCATGATTACATCCTGTTCAACCTTTCTTAGCATATAACCAGAAATCGAAGTAAACACAAGTAATTATGACAATTGAGAATACTGCCTGAAACACAGATGAGGATATTGCAATGAAATGCTTCATGGAAAGCGATACAAGGGCTCGTGGATTCCCGATCTCATTTGAAAATGAAACCTAAAATACTAAGAGTTGGAACTTGTTGAAATATTTTACAAGGAAATATTGGAAACAGAGACAGAAAATCCTCTAAGCAGGCAAAACATTTTCAACTTAGCCCTTGTTTGATACCCATTTTTCTCTCTTCTTTTCAACCACATATTCTTCAATAATATAAATATTATATGCAATCCAAAAAAATTCCCTTCATTTGTAACCACATATTCTCCATCAATCTATTATTTCAATATATTCTACACCAAAAATGTGGCATAAACGGGCCCTTATAATGAAATTGAGGCTACAGAGTAGGTCAAAAGATTTTCAACTTACATTGCTCTGTATGAGAGTCGATGAAACCTATTGTCTTCAACCGAATCATTCAGTGATTTTTTTCTCCCCAATGCAAGTCCATAGCTTTTAAGGAACTGCTTCAAGAGACGGGAATCACCTCGGAAGATATCCAGATGAATTGGAATAAGATCAAGTATGGGATCCCCTGAAAAACAGAATCAACTTACACAGTCATCAGAAAGCAAAAGTGAAAGACATGATTTCGCAGAGGATAGGTAATATAGCCAATCAGTAAAAGAAACCAACAACTGCAGCATAAGAATACAGATATTGACAACATATATTTGCCTATTTTTTTCATATTTTATGTTGAGAAATGGAAAGGGAGAAGGTACATGATTTTTGAAGGTCCAATCTGTGAAGCACAAACCATGCCCAACTCAAGTTACGGTTGTGGGGTACAACGTAAAATCATTAATTGATGAAAGATGTCAAACCACAAAAAATAATTTTTTTCCAATATTTTATCTGGTTAATCAGGCAACTGGTTAGCTCCCTTCACAAGGAAGCACAACCCTCCGAGCATGTCTTTTGGCTTCTCTTTCTATCTTTAGAATGGGAACTATTACTGAATAATGACCTTCAGCTAAAGATGCAAATAAACATCTAACCTATCTGAAAGTCAAGAAGAAAAAAAAGATACACTGAAAGGGCTTCACAGCTCAAAAGTTAACCCCTACTATTCTAAATCGCCTACAAGTAACCACTTTGTGGTGAGGAAATATATTTGTAATTTTCGCATTTGCCTTCTCTCTAGTGCAACTGAATATCGAGGTCTCTTTCCTAATCAAAGCCCGACTGTCCAAAAAAAAAAAAAACTCATTCTGAATAATTCAGCAACAAATGTAATTAAAACTCATCCTCCTCAAAGTCAAATGAAGAAAAAAGCTAAGTTTTGGTGTTGAATTGACGACGACATAGAGAAATGTGGTTTCCCTATATTCTTATATCGAAGTTTGTCTATATTGGAAAAGAAACTCAGGTTTCATTAGCCCATGATATGGATCACGAAGATCGCGAGAAAGGGTTTACACATGTCAAGCACCGAGGGAGGGATTCCAAGACCGTGGGCTGGGGTAAACAGTATTGCATTGGACCATTTTAGGTTGGAGGAAGCAGCTTGGCTTTTCAATAACTTCCTTTTCATCCCATCACTAGATGCATCAGCTATGATGTTCAGTCAGATGCTCAGAACTTTACATCACTCAACTTTAACCATTCAAGCAATAGTTAGTCACTATCTTATTCTATAACTTAAATATTGAAGTAAAATTTACTAACAAAGAAATAAACAAATAAATAAAAATCAATTGAAACACATCGGCCTTCCTCCAATATACCAGCAACATACCTAGACTGGTTGAATGTTCCATTATAACTGTTATAGCGAGATCAAAACACATGACCGTATCAAATTTCAAATCCTTCTCCTTTCTGTCTTCCGTGAATGATAGGCAAAAATATGCAGTCTAGGAAGAAAAGCTTTCCCTTTACAATATTCCACTGATAATTCCTGAATTATATAATACTTCCTTGATATAAGTCATATAACAAATAACATTCCAAGTTCATCCTAGTATTGTACTAACCCATTGTACCCAAAAACCCACCATCTCAGAGTCCAATGTCTTGATTACTTGAAGAGCTTATAAAAATTTCTTTCTGGATAAAAGACAACTCTGAGGCTATTGTTTCTTTCTGAAAGACAGATTTGCATGACAATAGATGCTTTCCAAATCTAAGAATTTAGGGTTAACAATTACTGCTACAGCGTACCTATCCCACTACTGCTCAAAACTTGGTGAACCATCATCCATTGTTAGCCTTTCATTTTCTTTTTCATAATCTAGATTCGAACTTCATCATCATTTTTTCTCTTCTAAAAGTCTCCTGTCAATACAAACCCACCCAAATAGTTTCTTATTTTTCATGGTACATTCCATTGAGAAATCAATCCAATTCAATGCGACTTTTGAACTGATATATTTTATATTCATTGGTTAATGTCTTCATTTTTTGTGTTCATTTAAGTGAAAGTAGGATGGATAAATTTGAATCCACTATGATTTTTCTGAACATGGACATCAGGTGAGGTTCCATAAAGAACATATAATTGCACAATTCAATCTACTCTCTTATCAATAACAAAAAAGTTAGTTAAGCACGCAAAACTTGAAACAGCAAAAGATCTCACCAATGGATAAATTACTGAAATCAAGGATGTGGCTAGGATGCCAAGAGTGCTTTTGTCCACTGTTGCTACTGTAGCAGTTCACATAACCATCTTCTGCTGGCAAATGATAAGTACTTCCTCCTGAGGAACATTGTGTCATGTAGATATTGTCATCCATCACATCCGAGTGTACCCAGGTGCAAGATTTACAAACTTCCTTTTCATTTGTAATAACCATAAAGAAAATTAGGTATCACCACATGAACATCAATTGACAAAAATTCCAAGTATACAAGAGAAAACAATCCCAAAAAACAGCTGCAAAAATTGAATAGAAAGAACTAGGATCAACCTCAAAAATATCAAGAAATTCTGCCAAGTCATGAGGAATGTATTCAGCAACTTTCTCAATCAGTTTGCAAGGAATCGGATCACCCCTGCAAATTGAAGGAAGGGAAATCAGATATCCAACAGGAATTTTTAACCCCTGCAGAGCTTTAAAAAACATAAGCAAGTTCCAAAAGAAAACCAGATTAGAGATTAACTCATCCACCATTATTCCAGTTAAACATATATTTGCTGCCTATGAAGCATTAATACAAAACCTCTATTTTATATTAATTTTCAAACCCGACTTGGGCAAATAGGAGAAATTAGTAACTTTGATAAAATGATAAGAGAATATTTTCTGAAAACATCTATATGAATGTACTGTCCCATTCATACCATAATTTGCTAAAAAATATGTATATTAATAACTATGATATTTTCTTGAAATATAACTCGATTGTCGTTTTTTTCTTACTAGTTAATTCTAGTTGGAATTCATCTCAATTTTTTGTTAATGTCTCCTAGAAGCTATGGGGTTGATCTTTCAAATTGTAACAAAATCTTATGAAGTGTTATTGCTGCTTCTACTGCTTCTTTGCATTTACTAGGCTCCAAAGCAGTTGTATCATCCTCAGCCAGTGTGTAATTGTCTTTCATGTTTGATTTTTTAACAAATTTCAATTGAGAAGCCATTCTAGATTTTCAGTTAATATATTCGGGAGCACAATAAGAGTTTGTGTTCATTTAAATGAAACTCATCTTCATTCTAATACGTTCAATCATTTGAATAAATGAATACAATAACAATAATTTTTTTTAATCGAATAGGTGGGTAAATTTAATTTAATTTTTCGGTTAATTTAATGTATCTTAATTGGTTAATGCTTATTTAATTGATTAGATTAGTAAAATATAGTTAAAATTTAGTTGGTTGTGTATGTGCATTGAATCATAAGTGCACTTCATAAATTAAAAAATCATTAACCAATTGATAAATTAATACCTCTTTTAATTAATAAATTTGTACCGCCCCACCCCGGGCAGAGTTAGTGAGCCGTGTAATAGGCGACCATTTCGCACGATTCGGGGGGCACTAGAGTCAGCTGCCGGCCCTACAGCATCCTGATCTCTATCCAATTTTTGGGTCTATAATCTCTATAAATAAACTCTATTATATAGCCCCTGTTTGGAGGGAATTAAAATAAGATTTTTATAGAAGTTGATGAAATGAGTGGTTGAAAAGTTGTGAGACCCAAAAAATATGTGGTTAAAATTAATTGTTAACTTTGACTTAAATTAAAATTTAGATTTTAATCTGTACCAAACTGGGCTATAATAAAATTTCTTTTGAGTCTCAATTTTGACTAAATCCTCTATAAATTATATAATTAAAATTTTCGGTCCAATCTTTTTAAATTTACTGAGATGATGCTGTAGATATGTAAAAATTAATATATTTTTTAATTCTTTTCAAATACCAGTCTGACCCTTTGCCTGTTCCTGTTGTGAAAGAATCAGCTCCTTCGTAATGGCTCAATCTATAGATAGAAAGCCATATGGTGGGAAACTAACATGTTAGGCTTGGAGAGAGGGTTCAATGCCCAGGCAGGGTTTCAAAACATTTGTATTAACTTCTTGTAATCAACTACGAAGAATCACTCGTCAACTTAAAGAGACATGATAAAGCAGCACCAGAAATCAACAAATTGATAATAGCAAACTTTTCATACCATTTAGTCAGGCGGTCTGAGAGATCCTTTCTTTTCCTGTTGAGAGTGCTTATAAATAAATTCCACTCTGCTGTAATGTGAATCTTATCTGCAGCAATCTCCATAAACCTATTATCATGGGGCAGCTCTATCTGCTCTCCAACTGTAAGTAATGAAGCATCAGAAGATGGACAAGGCAGGAGGTGAAGGTTACGCAGCTTCTCTCCCAGGAAAGAAGCCAAATTTAAAGTATCTTCCCACGAGAGTGTATCTCTTCTACAAATCAAAGCAGCATCAGAGTCAGCTGAAAATTGCATACCAGCTGCTTTGAGCCCAAAACACAGGCTATACATTTTAAAACAATAATATCAAATGCTTAAAAGTAAATACATACAGCTCAGCATATATTTCCCCGCTGCATCTTTTTGTCACAATATACGGCCATATTAGAGAGCATTCTCCAGAATTTCCTGATTTGCATGGTAACATACCAGCATTTTGACATTCAAATTGCTTCTTGTTCCATACACCAAATGGATAATCAATTTTTTTGTGTTTCATTGATATGAAATTGCAGTTGGCAATCACCTCTGGTATGCACTTGCCATCCCAAGGGAATACTGTATACAATCCATTTTCAAAAAGGAGAATCCCACTTGCCAAAATGCCAGGAATGTAATTCTTCAAAGGGGAGTTCACTTTGTGTAGAAGGCTATAGAATTCAAGCTGGAAAAGAGTAAATTCGAGATGATAATTAGGGAAAGTAGATAAAAAATAGTCTACATGCTAAACTAGAGAGCAGTGACATTTGCCTCAGTCCCCAAACCATAAAGAGAAGCTTCCAGTCCATCTTCAACAAATATTTTTATTGCATAATCCGCAACAAGATAAACCTGTCCAAATATTATGTGCTTATATTAGTTGAATATTATAACTCATCTACACCACACACCCCTGAGAAACGTGATAGGAATAGTAATAATAACTAAATAAATAAATACAAAACAAATGTTTTTGTTGCAAAATTTATTTTGGTATATACTCCAATATGATAGAACAAGGTCCTATGCTTTCCCTTTAAGCAAAGTTGGACATCAAAAGTTAAAATGTCCACATAAATATATTTATTCATCAAGAAAAGAAATTTCCAAGCAGAATTTTTAGCATAAAACTTACAGGATTGCTACCCATGCCAACAGGAAGTTTCTCATCATGAAGAGGTGAGGGCAACCCATGAAAGGCACAAATTTCTCCCACTCGTTCGAACCACTTTCCAGCATTTAGTGCAATACAGGCTCCCTAGACCGTTCCAGAGTGCAGTGACATTAGATGCTAGAAGTTATTATTGAGGTACATGGACAAACACTGTTGTAGGTAAACTATAATCACAAATATGATTACCATTATGGATCTAATCCAATCTAACAAATATGATTACCATTATGGATCTAATCCAATCTAACACGATAGTTATGAAATATGGTATTTCTTTAAACGTCGTGATAAAACAGATTTCATGCATAAAAGACCAGTTTTCGGCAACCAAACCCAACTGAGAAATAAAATCCCGGACATATTGTTTTGACAACAAGGACACACCTAGATAATTAGGACTAATATTGTATTCGAAAACTGAATCTCATAGATTCTGTCATGTAGAGGTCTCCAAGACATTTGATCTAAATCTAAGCCCAGTTGTTTATCACATTTATTTTGTTAATTAAGTCCAGCAAAAGGTAAACACTTCCAAAATCCAGTTGTAAAGAATTGACCAAAAATAAGTCCTACCTTCCATATTAGGTCTCTGAGCCATGGTCTTCCAAGCCAAAGCTTCCATAACCATTCTCTCATTTCTCGCTGTCCAATGCAGTTGCCTGAGGCCCATAAAGAATTGTAGTGGTCCCTCTCTTTATCCAGAAACATAGCTAAGAAATTTAAATCGTAAGAAAATTCCAGGCTACCCAGACCATGATATTTAGACAAACTATTTGTATCATTCTCATTTTTTGAATCCTCTAAGGGTTGGCACATCTTGAGCCGCTTCTCTTTCCTGGTCGGGTCAGAGGAGCTCAATTTATTATCCAAGCATAACACATTCTTGTTAAGATCTTCAAAACTTCCCTCATCAAGGGCAAGAACCCCAGCACGGCAGACTCCTTTATGACGATAACCAGGGGACATGTCAAGACATACAAACTCAAAGTTTTTTGAGTTCACAAAATTTTGTGTCACGGCAATAGTTGTCTCCAGATTTAGTACACAATGCCACCACCCACTTGGAACAAATATTGTCTCACCAGGAAGCTGGGTGCACTCTATAGGCTTCTCAGCATCAGGGAGAAGGGGATAAAAATCCAGCCACCACTAAAATGTGAAGAAATAATTAAAAATAGGAAACAATTCTCAGTAACTGAATATATTTATTCTGTATATTTAGTACCTGCAATGATGATGGACCATCAATATTGACATCGCCATCTTCTTCATTCACATGTACTGTCACTCCTGAAGGAACTCTCCCGGGAGGATACAACGCCCACCTATTGAAAAATCACGATGTATAACACATGATATTACTAAGCTCTAGATAGAAAGCTCTAGGTAGTACTTTACTACTTTTCAGGTTTGCACTTTCAGGAATGAATTGAAAGGAGACATTCCTTTATGTAATAAATTAAATATTTGAACGAGATTCATACTTTATATACATTTGTTACTTGTGTAAATAGGAACACTCAGTCCAACAAGTTTGCACTTTACATGGTTTGGGTAAATGAAGAGAGGCTCAAATATAGAAGATATCAATTTTATTGGTTGGTCATAGTTGGTGGTGAGATACGGCAACTTAAAGATGTCGCACGTAGGCCATTATTCTTAGTTACAAAAATAAGAAGTCTGATATAACATACTGCTGTGTTCCATGAAATGGAATACATAGGCAGAGAACCTTTTTTTTTAAAAAAAAATATCGCAAAAATTGATTTTCTCAATACAATAAAAGATATGCCTAATCTTGACGGAAAAATAGACTCGAATGAGAAGATTAATTATTACTTTAAAAAGGTTGAAATGCCAATGCCAAAAAATAATCCACAAGGTTGACAGCTTATATTTTTCCTGATAAAAATTTCTTTCAACCTTCTCCTACTACACATCGCAGATAACTCCCTCTAATACACATTCAAAAAAGGTGTCCACACACTGGGACTGATTTTGCAAATAAGCGCTGGCCTAAAAGATACCTCAGTAGTTGAAACAACTTGCAGAATTTTCTAAAACAAGTTCACGGTCAAGATGTTATATATCTTTCATCATTCTACGTTAATTGTAAGCTTGTGCCACATTATGAATCCACCTGTGGCTTTTTCAATTCCAAAATGTATCACATCTACCAAATTGTGAGACTCAATTTCACATATCCAAATTCCAAAATGGTAAAGTGTTATTTAGCCAAGGTTTTGCTATGTGTACACCGGGGTTGACAGGCCCCCTCACGATAGGGGGGCCCGAGATTTTTTATTAGACGTAATCCCCCCACTGTGAGGGGACTGTATACAAATAGCAAAATCCAATTTAAAAATGAAAAAGTTTTAAAGGGATTCCATATAACGGAAATGATCTCCTACCCATGGTGAGTAGAAGTTATCTTTCCCACCGCTGACATGTGGGGGGCATGTTTTATCCTACCCACTTTGGGTAGGAGATCATTTCTATTCCATGTAATAGGCAAACAATTATAAGGTGCAAGTTTTACATAACGATTACTCCAACTCTATTTTGTGATATGATTTTGTTAAAAAAATTATCTCTCTAATTGCCCAGGCGAAAATAGCGCTACAGAGAATCCACCACCCTATGACCCGAATCCACCCCTAAAACCTCCATATTCGGATTTCACCGGCATCGTCCCTATGCCGGCGACGGGTCACAAACCTTGAACTGGCGAAAGCCTAGCATGACTAAGGTACACGAGAACTTTCATAAATTCGGATTCTATAGTCACTTTAGACTTGGACTCATTGATGCCAAACAAATTTCGATACACTTATCTCACGAGGGTGATTATATTTTTTTTGCAAACATCACCAATATACATGGTTAAAGAAGGCGATAATAGGTAGCGCCTCACATTGAGGCGCAGACAAAAAAACCTTGAGGTGTTAATATTTAAGCAGCTTCATGAGGCTTACTCCTCTGCTGATTGAGGCATAAGCCCTAGGGTGCACGTCTCAGATTTTTCCTTAGTAATAATGGCTGGAACCCACTAATGTTAAAAACCCAATTTTTTGTTCTGTCAAACCAGCTTTGAAAGTCCAACTTCTGTTAGGTTAATCATAAAGAAGCTGTAAATGAGAATAAAATAAGTGATAACAAGAAAAACTCAATAACGTCACCATAAGTTTTGTTGAGCACCGAGTGCCATAAACGACTAAAGTTTGCTTTGTAATATCTTTTACTTCCCAGTGAAGGATTAATTGATTAATGATTATCAAACTACTTATAAGAATATTTAAGATGAAAACAGATTTATTTTTTTAAACCAGAAATTTGATTTTAATGAATCAGTAATAAATTTATTTTCCCATGCAGACATAAAGCATTGTGTTGCTTGTCTTCTCTTCCATTTGCTATTTTATTGAATTATTTTGTGTTTGTTTGCAAGTTATACATAAATTGTTATATTGTGTTGTGAGTTGTAAAGTTTGTTTAGAGCTTATTATATGCTTATTTTTGTATTTTTATATTTTCTTGACTTGTTTGTTTGTTTGCAGCAAATTGTCTCGAAGTTTACGAGCCTCTGTACCCAACTCTGCCTTTTTAAACACTACCAATATAATGCGTTCAGAAGCATAGAAGCATTGGATAACAAGAAGATATATCACTCAGATTGAGCTTTACCTTTTACGGCCAGAAATGAGAGTATTCCAAGCACTAGTAAGAGCTGGATCAACATGCCAAGAGGCACCAGACCTCTCAGGTCCAATTATGAGCCATCGGAAAGGTGGTCGTTTCTCGCTATCCAATATGTCAAAATAGTCTTCTTGAAATAGATGGGGAACACTATAATCGTTCAATAGGTCAGGTGCAGAATTCCCAAACTGTAATAATAGAACTTCCAAAGTTGTTCAAGACAATAAAAATCCAAACTGTCTTCTGAATAGATAGTTCAAGCAACACACCTTCTCATCAAAAATGTATAGAGGATCCTCATCGTGCTGAATTTGCATGTATGACAAATAATCCTTAAACTTCATAGTTATTTTCTGAGAACTCCTCTGTGATAATCTGAATTTTTCCTCTCCATACTTCGCTAATAACTGTTCGGTTGTCCATGATTTTCTTGCTGGCCAATTATCAGCCAAGCCACTGATTAAAACCTGTGACGGATTTAGTAGCAATATGTGAATGAAGTGAACCCCTTTATAAATAGTCAAGCAAACAAAAGATCAGAGAGTGATAATCAGAAAATTTTCTGTGGGATGTTTCCTTGTTATTTCATTTTTCTTTGTTGTTAAATAACCATAATTGAAAATAGGATTGAAATGAAAATAAGAAATATTTATGAAATGTACGCTTAGCTGTTTTACAAGACATTGAAAAATCAATTCATTTGGATCATGTGCAAGTAAAAATAAATGAAATATTGTCTGATGCAATCAAAATGATCCACATCTTCTCATGAGAAATAATTAGTATTTTTCTAAAATACTTCCCATTCAATAATTGGTCGTAATGGAAGGACTGACATACCGGCTTCCGACCGTCATACTCTCTCTGAAACTCTTCTAAATAGATGTTCTCTTTTCTTTCTACAGTCCCTCTATCAAAAGAGAATCCATTTAACGAGGTATAGCAACGATATAACCTCCTATATAGAAACAAGGAATTGAATCCTGCATGGGCGACATTATCATCCAGATCAAAATAAGTAGGTACACCTCGAGCATAGTCCAAAAACACTAATTATTAAGTTACTCACCATCAAAGTGCAATGGTCTTTTGCAGGCTTCATGATATTGATTGGGCAAATCCAGTCTAAGACCAAAAGTGATCACCGGATATGATGAAAGGGTCAGCTTCTTTCAAATTTTAATTAATCATGAATTAGCAAAGAAAAAGGGATTCTAAAAGCATACTGATGCAAAGCTGTTTTCTTCCATGAGCCTTTGTACTCAATATGACGATTTACATTGTTCAGGCAGAGACTCATCCAGAGAGGCTCCTCATTGCACAATATATACATCACGCTGCACACGAGAAGTACTAAGCAAACGGAGAATTGCATAAAAGGAACAGTCATATTAAGCATAAAAAACATTTTGTTTTTGGAAGCTAAGGAAAAATATTTGTTTGAAATTCGTCATTTTCAAGAAATCAAATAAATGAGTTTGGTAGAAAATTCAAACAAGTTTCATGGATTTACATTCATTTTCCTCACCATGAGTTTCTTATTGAGTGTAAGAATCTTAAGCATATGCATGTGGAGGTGAACTATACTAAGTACTAGCGTACCACACCTGAAGCTTGGTTTTTCTCTTTCTAACTCTTTATTATTATGTTTCCATTTCTTGTTGAAATTCCATATTAGTCATGGCTAATTTTAGTATCTAATCCGTTTTTTTCCAATCTCATATTCTGATTAGTTTTTTCACCCAAGAGAAAACATATACTAATTAAATGTATTCCAGATCAATTTCATTGGCCAAAAAAATAAAAAATCAGATAATTCTAACCCAATATAGTTCATCTCTTCCACGTTTCATAATTTCCATGGCAATCAGAACTAGAAAACTAAAATGAATCGAGAAGACCAAAAGAAAATGAATAATTAAAATGAAAAAGTAAACCTGCTAACGCAAGATAGGCGAGCGATATCGAGCGGCGTGAGAGAGATTAATATTTCACACAATATTTCATCGGGAAGAACGCAGAGGTTACCCAGAGCTTCCCGTCTGCGATCTTTTGGCACTCCAGCTGATGACTCCGATGGTAATTCAGAAGTGTTATTCTCCAAGTTCACCTCCATTGAAGACCCGTTAGCGTTGGGATCAGGCAGAACCGAAATTAAAGCATCTAGTTCTGATGCGGGGAGAGAGCTTTTTGTAGCGTCAAATTTTTTGAGGAGAATATTTAAGAACGCGTTTGTCAAATCTTCCGCGGTTAAAGTAAAATTTAAACCGAATAATAAAGTTAGAATTTATTTTTGGCTGATTGCAGCACTCCCCTATCTATTAGACATGCTGAGCAAAATCCTCCCATCTATTGGAAACACAAAAGGTCCTTATTGAATGTGTAATAGCAATATCATCTATTTTCTCAACAAAAAATTGTAAAAAAAGGGATATACCCTCTCGATGCTACTAAAAATCGTACATGTCGACTTCCAAACTTGACGACTGAGAATGAGCACGAACGAAGTCTTCCGGTACCTGAAGCAAAGGCATCGAGTTCCAAATAAATGATTGAAAAATCAAAACTAAAAAAAAATAACTTCCTCTTTCTCCTCTCTTTCCTACCACCACCATCCACCGATGTTGCCGCCGCCATTGTCGAGACGTAGAAGATTAAGTGGGCTAAGGAGAGGAGCCCAATGGAGACCCAGCAGCGACTGCATTAGAGATGAAAATGTATTTTGAAAATAATAGGGACCAAACAAAGGTTTAATATCCTCACCTCCCAATCCATCTTCTACTCTTGATAATCCTCCCTGTAAGATCAATAGTGCTAGAATTCTAGTTCTCATTGGTAAGGAAACTATGTTGGATTTTAATTTGTTATGTTAGCCTACGTATATAATTAATTGTATATAAAGCTTATCTTAAGGTTAAACTCAATTAAAATGGTCTAATAAATAATTAAAGTTATATACTTTGAGCATCTAAATAGAGTATGAACCTAATTATGTGTAGAGATTAGATTAATTAGAAATATGTATGAGTAAATATATATAGATTATGATTCTCAATTTATATGTGATTCTAATTTTCTGTGGCATCACATCAATACAAGAATAACAAAACAATGCATATTAAAGAGGGAGATCCAAAACTCACAATCAACAAAAAATAAGAATCAAGAACGAGCTCTGATATTAAAGAATCATTCCAATGAATCAAGGTATATTCCGCATTTAATAATTCTCTTGGTGATTTGACTAGAGGATCTTGACGATAAAGTAATTAGATTTTCAAGTTTTTGAGATTTAAAGTTTAATAAAATTCTAACAAACTATACCTGCAACTTCGTTATTGAGTATAATGCACACAATCTCTATGGATTCTTGTATTAGTCGACGTAACTGGTAAAGGCCATTTGTAGTAAGCAAGTCTACTATTGTGGGTTCTGGAAATTACGCGGCTCACTGGACTAGAGACAACGCTGCCACCTGGAGTGATTTGGTATACACAATACCAAGCATCTTGAATTTTGAAATGTTTGGAATTCCAATTGTTGGTGCAGACATCTATGGTTTTTCTGGAAACACGACTGAATCTTGAATTTCTTCGGCTGTTGTTTGATGGTGGTGGTTATTGGAATTGGACATCGACGCGTGGACCCACTTCTTCTTCCACTTGCGGACCGCCCCAGCGAAGCCACTGGTGTGCTCGTATCGAGTAGAGGATCGCCCGAGTCTTGCTCATACTCCCTCCATTTTGTTTAAGAAAAGCCGGATTTGCAATGGCCGGCGGTCGGCTATTTTTCTAAGAATGCATTTGATTGTCAATATTTTTCAGTGAATATCTGTTTTTTCCACCCCAAATGCATACTTGTGTTGTTTTATTGACTTTTTTCATGGAAAATATTTTTCTACTTTTGATCACGTGACCATATTTTCCTCAACATCAAAGAAAATATTTTCTTTAGGGAAGTAGGATTTTATTTTTTAGAGAATTCACTATCTCTTTCTCTCTCTTATATATCCACTCTCTCTCATCTACCCATCAATAAAAAATGGACAAGTATAATATTTTCTAAATTGAAAACTAAATCAATCAAACGCATTTAATTAATAATTTTTATTCAAATAAATTCTAGGCAATTCAATTGTCTAGAATTTATTTTTTTCCATGCAAATTCAATGTTCACAATCAAATGCACACAAATTGTTTTATATTCTCCACACGAATTATGCGGCGATCTTTATTTATGGGTAAGTATAAGAGGAATTAAGCTCTGCATTTTAGGTTTTTTTATCTTGATTTATGGATTCATAATGGTGGCGACAGTGACGGGTGAATGGTGGTGGTGGGAGGCAGGCCCAACCAAATGAGGTCGCCACCTCAGGCCCAAACGTGGAAAGGGCCTCATTTTTTGGCCCAATTTTTTTTTTTTTATATCAGACTAGCCCAACTCTGGAGGCCCAATTGTAACCTAAACTGCTACACACTCACTGAATCACACGACTTCCGTCTCATTCCCACTCTCAATCTCAAAAATTTATTCAACTCTCCAACTCCAAGAATCTACCAATCAACTGTTCTTCAAGCCGACGCCGGAGTGGTGTTTTCCAGACTCCAGTGCAGTCTTCCACTCTTCTTCTTCCTTCCTTTAACCATTTTCCTTTCGTTTTCGGGCCTGTCCCTAATCAGTAATCCATTTCGGCTTTCAAGTTCCGTCCGCCGCCCGCGACTGCGATTCGCTCTTCAAGGCCATTAGCCGTCGACGGTTGACTGCTTCCTGTTGGTAGTGGACCAGTGGTAGTCTGGGTCTGCGACTGCGACTGCAATTGGCGTGGCGTCTTCTGGAGTTATGCTGGTAAGTGGGCGATGGGCCGCGTAGCTGAGTATCAGTTTTGTGGCTTTTGTAATTTGTCTAATTTCAGTTTTGAGCTGCTTCTCTAATTTCAGTTTTGTGACTTTTGTGATTTGTCTAATTTCAGTTTTGTGGCTTTTATGAATATAGAGAAACTGGATTTGCTATTACCAAGGATGAAGCGACAAAGAAGGCAAACGAAATGAGAATTGAAGCTGTATTTCGAGAAAAACGTATAATTCGAAGAAAAAAACATTTTGATGAAAGCGGAAGTAATGAAATAAAGCAATCGGCTGAAGAATCTTTTAGAGTTGAATACTTTATTTTTATAATAGATCAAACTCTATCTTCTATGAAGACTTGATTTGAACAATTCAAACAATATGACAACACTTTTGGATTTTTGTTCAATTTGAAGAGGTTAAGAGGTGAAACTCATTCAATTTTGATGAAATTTTATATGAATCTTGAGAAACAATTAGAACATAACGGGCATTCAGACATTAGTGGAGATGATTTATTTTCGAAAATGCTAGTCTTGCGGTGCTATATACCAAGTGAAGCAACGAGAGCAATTGAAGTCTACGATTGAAGATATTGAATGTTTATTTCCCAAATACTTATATTGCTTATAAAATCTTGTTAACCATACCGATTACAATTGCATCTGCAGAAAGAAGTTTCTCCAAATTGAAGTTGATCAAGACTTACCTCCAATCAACTATGTCACAAGAAAGATTGAATAAATTGATTATGTTATCAATAGAGAAAGAAATTGTTGAACAGTTAAATTATTCAGATTTGATTAATGTTTTTGCCTCTAAAACAGGGAGACGTATAGTATTTAATTGATTGTTTGAACTCTTGTCGGTTTTGTTACTTTATAATATATATAAATCTTTTGTTCTTTATATTTGTTTGTTGTTCTACTCTTCAGTGTTAAGTTAACAATATTTTGCATAATGCACTGTTGAATTTTGCATTTACGTTGATCTTGGGGGGCCCAATTTTGGGAGTTCACCTCGGACCCCGAAAATCACAGGATCGGCCCTGATGGGAGGAGAGAAAGGAGGAAGACGAACTTTTTTTATGTTTTGATTTTTTAATTATTTATTTGGGACTTATTTGTACTTTTTTGAAATTTTTGAAATTATAATTGTAATTATTTCTTTTTTTTTTTAATTTAAATAGTAGTGTATATTCGTCAGTCCACAGTTTTTTATTAAAAAAATGGACGACGGAGGCATTCCGCACAAAAGATTTCAAACGTGAACCTTTTGTGGCTAATTCCAATAGGTGGGGAGGTTTTACGCAGTATGTCTAACAGGCGCCAATCGACCTTTATTTTCTTTAGATTAAGAAAGGAGTTAATACAACGAAGACTAAAAAATTTTTAACACGCTTACCACACAGATTCCATAGAGAAGTTTCGAGGATTACGTACACATATATGGTAAGATTGTCCATAGAAATCACGATATATCGAACCTTAAATCACTGAATGAATCGTGACGCATATATTCCCCCCTAATTCCCCCGTATAATGCATTCAAGTTGCTCGTCTCTAATCACCTTTTGAAAACTGCACAATATTCCCTGTCAATTATTTATAGAAATATTCCTTATGGATAGTTTCTTTTGACATTTTCGTTCTTTAGATAAAAAGGGAATTTAACACTTACAATACTCCGATCACATAAAAAACACATAAACACTCGCCTAAAAATAAAAATATACTTTGGACAGGGGTTTGGAAGTAAATATTATGATCATTCACTATTTTTTTAAAAAATGAAAATTGTCTTAATATTCTAACTATCACTTGACAGTCACAGTTTAGAAAATATATTTTACAATTTCTAGAAAAGATAAAACATTTGATAAGGAAAAGAAGGGAAAATATTATGACATTGAGAGTGGAAAATTGGAAAAGTCCTCAACAGCTTGCAAGTTTTGGGATTAGAAATGAACGAAATTTGTAAAAGAGGATGACATAGATACGATAGAAAAGGGATACAATTGAAAGTAAAACTGAAAATTTGGGCGACAGTGGAACTTTTCATGATCTCGGGGGCTAGATTATAATTGCTAAAAGTTTAGGGTCAAACATAAAAGGATAGAAAATAATTTAGTAAGTTTAAATTATCGGTGAATAAAGTAGCGCTATGCTAAATAACTTGTCCAATCCTATGCTAGGCATCTCACTCATCGCTCTATCATATCTAAGTACACGTCGGTACCCCATATCAACCAATTTAGAATCCAACGACTAGC